ATATAAAATTATATATTACAAATATTAAAATTTTAAAGAATATATATACATAATTAATTAAAAGTTTTGAATTTTAAATTTTAAAAAAATGGAAGTTACAAATGCAATATGTCACACTTTTAAGGAATAGTACTACTCTCAAGAGAGTCGACTGTAATTTAATATATAGAGATTGATATATAGTTTTTAGTATATACAATATTAGAAAAAATCATAAAGTTACCTTATACTGTATACCTTTTGCAAATAGGCACTTTAACTCTTTTACAATCACACCTTAAAAATTAGCTATCATTACATTATATCCTTTTGCTAATTAATTGTTAACTCAATAAGGATAAATAAATTTTAACCGTTGTTTTTATTAAATCCCAGCCATTGATTAATGCTGGAAAGGAAAAGTGAAAAATAAATTTCAAAACTTCCCTCATATATGCATTTTAAGATAGTTTTCTAAAATATAAAAAATAAGAAATAATAAATAAATACACTCTTCAAGTCACCCCTTATTATTTGACATTGTTTTGTATTTGTGTAAGCAATGAAAAAAAAAGAAAAAAAAAAGATACATGTGCAATTCATGTACGCGCATAAATCAACCACCACTTTTTCAAGTCAATGCATTGCGTTATCCCCTAAAACTCGACGTATCCAAGTGAAGCCACGAAAAAAACTAGAAAACGTTTGTTGAAAGTTGAAACAGATATAACATGTAAGTACATATATATTAGAAAGGAAAAAAAGTTGGGACTTAAAAAAAACTATACAAAAAGATATGGATTAAAATTAAAAAAAAAAATAAAGACAGTACCAACTACCAAGTTCGATACTCCGATATTACTAAAGAATTTTTTTCAAAAAAAGTGGAGGTCTGAACAATATAAATGAAAAACACGGTAAATGATATTTATTATAAGTAAGCTACTGGATTTAAAAAAAAAAAAACTAGTTGACCAAAAAGTTTTAGCGCCGCTTTGAATATGTTTATTTGAAAGAAAAGACTTGTTATGAATTTTTGTTTAACTGATGTTTTCAAAAGTCAGAGTTATTTTATATTTAATTTAAGGAAGATGTTATGTTTACAAGTTTTTATAATTAATTTTTTTTATTGAATCAAAATTAAATTAATGGTTATAAAATGATATCAAATAAGAGTTGTTGATTTGATTTTGATCTAATGACAATAAAATTGGTTATAAGAGAAAATATATTATAAATATAACCTCTCTTAAAATAATGTCTAAAAAACATTTTTAACTATTAAAAAATATATTTAATTAAAGAGTAGTAATGTTTTTATTTTTTTAAAGTCATAAATCTTGGCTTAAGGAGAACACCTTTTGGGTTTTTTTAATGCCTTATTTTTTTAATTAAATACATCTAAATACACACATGAAATGAAAAAAAAAACTTTTATTTGAAAAAATTCTTCTCGGAAAAAGCACTTCCAAACAAGAGATCAAATTTCCAATACCACCTTTGAGAGGGGTTTAAAGTCTTAATCCTGGACCCGCTCCGAATTGGATTAGTAGCGAAACGATGAACCGATTGAAATATTTCAAAAAATAAAATAAAAATAACAAATTCAATTTGTACTTAGTTGTATGTTAATAGCACTTTCATTTTTCATTGAAGTTTGTGGGGGTGTCAATTAATAGTATAATTAATTAGACAACGATCATTCTCTAAATTTTTATTTTTCAAAGTAAAAAATAATTAGGTAAGAAAAGTATTCACAGTTGGGAAGGGGGCTCAACCTTTAGCCATCACTGACCCTCGCACTCCGGATTAGTCCCATAGCCGGTTCAAAGAATCGAAGCTTGTAGGGATACCAGAGGGAGCTAACTCGCCTCAAAGAGGTAATTAGGGTTGGGTAACTTCAAAAAAAAAAAAAAAAGTATTCACAGACTACCTTGATTAATCAAAATTAAAAATAGAAGAAAAAAAGTTATTGAAAAGTAATTTTGTTTAGTTATTGACGCCAAAAATTTACATTCAAAAATAGATGGAAAGGAGAAATTTCTATTGGCAATCAAAACCCTCATAGAATATTATTTCTTGCAGTATATCGAAATAATAAAATATTTTATTATTTATAATCAAGATTAAATAGGTTTAAGAAGGAGAAAAGAAGTTTAAATATGTTATTTCTAATGCCCAGAGCGCATAACAAATATGACTAAACAAAAAATTTGGATTTTTATAATAGAGTAATCATTCGGTTCTCAATTTCAATTAACAAAATAACAAAATTCAACTTCTAAAATAAAGATCATAATCAGCCTTTTGTTATATTAATTATAAATTGATCCAAGATTTAAGATTTGCAAAATCTAAAATCCTAAAAATAAAGAAAATTTCAACCATAAATATAATGGTAATTAACTTCCAAAAGTAAATAAACAATTACAATTAAATCATTCAAAACATGTCTCAAATCTTAGATTATGTCTCAATTACATTGCCAAACAAATCACAATAATATCCCAATAATATCTACTGCTTTATTGAGACTTGAATTTGATCGTAATTTATTATATTTTAAATCACTATTTCTTTCAATAATTGGGACATACTTATTCGGCCACAACTCTGGTTGAGTCTGAACTTCTTGAATCAATGGTGCTTTATTGAGATTTCAATTTGATCGTAATTTATTATTTATTTATTTTAGGTGAAAATAATTTATTATATTTTAAATCACTACTTCTTTCAATAATTAGGTCATACTTATTAGGTCACAACTCTAGTCGAGTCTGAACTTTTTGAATCAATGGTAGAGCCATGTGCAATGGGCCAACTGTAAGTGCATCAGTTCTACTTAGGGTTGTAAATGAGTTGAGCGGAGCCAAGCCTATGAAAAATATTTTGAACTTGGTTTGGTCCATTAGTGACTTGAGCCTGGCTTGACTCATTTATAATTATAAATTGTATTTTTTTCCAAACTTGCATATATCCAAATGTTGAGACCAGGGATGTTAAAATCGGCCCGGCCCGACCGGTATTAACCGACGAACCGATTTTGGAAAAAATATTTCTAATGTTGCAGCCACGGGGATTCGAACTTGAGTCTCTTGAGGATGCGTGATCAGTTCTACTTAGGGTTGTAAATGAGTTGAGCGGAGCCAAGCCTATGAAAAATATTTTGAACTTGGTTTGGTCCATTAGTGACTTGAGCCTGGCTTGACTCATTTATAATTATAAATTGTATTTTTTTCCAAACTTGCATATATCCAAATGTTGAAACCAGGGATGTTAAAATCGGCCCGGCCCGGCCGGTATTAACCGACGAACCGATTTTGGAAAAAATATTTCTAATGTTGCAGCCACGGGGATTCGAACTTGAGTCTCTTGAGGATGCGTGGGGATCGAACCCTTGTTGTGAAGATAAAAATTATAGTATTTTACCACTAAGCTATATTTAATTTTTGGTTCACTTGCACCATTTAAAATATTTATTATATAACTAAGTATAAAATGTAAATTTATATACATATCTAATTCATGCGGTTGAACCAGTGACCGGGTATCCCGACCGGGTCGATCACCGGTCCAGGTTTAATAACATTGGTTGAGACTATAAATGCATCAAATTTTGTATTCCTTCGTCGTAGAACTCACTTAATCCATATATAATTACATCTTTCATGCTATCTAGCTATAATAAAATATATTATTTATTATAATAATATATCGAACGAGCTCACAGGCTTTCAAGTCAAGCCTCATTAAATTATGTTTGTTAGACAAGTTTTTTTTAAAACTTGATCCTGTTCTATTTATTCGATAAGTCAGGCCGGGCTTTGGGACCCTAGCAAGCCGTTCGACCCATTTACAATCCTAATTCCACTTAAAATGACACAAAGTTATGGGCATCTTTTAAAATGAAAAATATTTTTTATTAATTAATTATAATTTAATTAATATTACAAATAAAAAAATGTAAAATAAATATAATTAATATTAAATAAGAATATTTTATAAATAAAATTTATGGTTTAATATATGTCCAGTTAATATGGAGACAATTTATTTTTAATGAACCCAAAACGACGTCATTTTGAAGTTGAAAAAAATATATTTTTATAATTCTAATTTTCTATAGTGTTATATTAGTCTATTATTGTAGTTTTTTAATCTTTTAACTCCATAATAATATCATTTGGATTCACTGAAAATAATTTTATCTCCAATAATTTGAGAATCATTAAACCCTAAAAATTAACATCCTATATTTTGAGTTGAGAAACATGACAATTTTTTAACACGTGGCATGATAATATAAATCTAACTGAGATTGGATTTTTCGAATCAACTTGTTAAGTATTTGAGTCATGCTTAATGACTGAAAGTCAACTCTAGTCTTTTAATGAAAATCAATCAATTTAATTTAATTTTTTTATTCCTATTTCATGAAATTGAACCAATAAGTCAAACTAAACATATATATTTTTGTTATCAAAAAAAAAAAAAACATATATATTTTGTAATTTATATATTTATAAACGATAAGGCTTCGACTGTTGTGATTTTTATAACATGTTTAGGCTAATTTCTTGTCTATGACCAAATCTAACCAAACTTATAAGAATGTTGGATTTAACTAGGAACATTATACCTAAGTAAATCAAACACCAACACAATAATAAAAGATAGAGTTATATTTATCTCATTTTAAATAAGATAAACAAATTTTCTACACAAACAAAAGAAATGTGGGCTCCACCTTTTTTTTATCTCTCTTTTCTCACATGTTGATTCCACTTCTAATTTTATTTTTACAACATAAAATAATTATTTTCCTGCAACGTAAAAAAATTATTTCCCCGAAACATAACATGTATCTATAACATGTATCACATGAACTGAGTTAGATGGACTGAGAAAGAAGCGGCTGCGATGGTTTCTCAAACTCTGTCCACATTTTGAGGGGCCCACGAAACGACCCTTATTCGTTCACACATAAAATCCTTTGGTGCATTCCCATCCAAATGCCATCGATGACCCTTTTGGATTTGGTGAAACGGAAAAGAAAAAAAGCGTTATCTTTTTTGTGGGTTATTCAATTCAATCCTCGAGAGCCCAAAGCTTGCCTTGTGAGCTTAATTTCTGCTCATAATGGCTTGCATGCTTGCAAATTCATTACTCCTATTCAAGGTTTTCACTTATATTATATCCCTCTTGTTCCTTTTTCGTTTTGGGTTTGTCATAATTATGTTTGAGCTTTGAAGTACCTATTATCTTTAAGTGCTGTTGCTGTTGTTGCCTTGTTGGATTGTTTGTTTTGTTGTCTTATGGTTTGGTTTTGGCAGGGCTCTCATCAGAAACCAGTTGTGAGTAGAAGCATTGCTGTCCAATACTCACCGGGTATGCATGTTGTTGGATTACCTTAAATCGGTGGTTTAAGTTTTACAATTGTATGCATTCCTAGTCTGCACTTTGAGTTCTTGGTGATGTCACTTGCCAATTGCATTTATTGGACGAGGAGGACTTGGATGATGAGAAATTTAGAATTGCTTAACACTTCCTGGCTTCAATATATGCAACTTAATTTGATTATGAATTCTTCCTATTTTTCGGATATGTTAATGACTTAGTGTCGCCTTTGTTATTTGTAAGTATGAAAATAACCAAGAAAGTTCAACAAGATGATATGTCAAACGGTGCCTTCTGCTTCAAATATCTCAGTTATTGGCGCGTTGTTGATTTGTCTGTCATCTTCTAGCTATTTTAATAATATTCTCAGGGCCAAATTTTCATTGGGAACGATTATATTCAATTTTTTTATTTTTTTTTCTGCATGGAAAGCCGGCTATCATTACCTGGTGGCATCACTGATCAATATCACTAAGTCATTTTAATAGGGATTTCCTGCATCAAGTTGCAATATATGTACTGTTTTGTGGAAAAATTGACGAATTTTATGCCTACATGGATTACAAGTATCATTTCATAAGCCTGGCCTGGACTCAACAAATGGGACCATGGGGTTAATACGGAGCTTATGTTCAACTCTTAATTGGCATGAATAGTATGGGTGCCTTTCAAATAATTAATTGTGAATTTGTCATTCTGCCTCAGGAAAATTTAACCTAAAGGGTGACGGGCTTCTCCAGAAAGGGTTCAGGCATCAAAGACATTTTAATCTTAGGAATAAAGTTACTGTCATCCGAGCTGTGGCAATTCCAGTGGAACCAGCTCCAGCTGAAAGTGCAGAGTACAGAAAACAACTAGCCGAAAGCTACGGTTTTAAGCAAATTGGAGAGCAGCTTCCAGACAATGTTACTTTAAAGGATGTCATGAATTCCCTTCCTAAGGAGGTCTTTTTTATTTTGATTTATGTCATGTTTTATAGCATCAGCACTTAACAAGACTTTTGTATTAAATTGTAGTATGTAGAGTCACTTATTAGATACTCTTTTCTACAATGAAATATTTATTTGTGCACTTAAAATAACATTCTTTAGTGTGTTTTCTTCTTTCATAAGAATATTAAGACAATTCTCCTAATATCATGGTTGCATATATAAGTTTATAATAAAACATCAATGATGGCAATAATATTTACTGTACATTATGAGAAAGAGATGGTGTCAAAGGTCTGTATATGATTCTTCCGTCTCTTAGCCATCTCTTGTTCTCCTCCCCCCTTCCTTCTGGCAGAAATTGTATTCAAGTAAAAGAAAGAAAGGATTTGTCTTCCTTTTGTAATCTTTCCATGTGGTCCTTTTTTGGTCCTTTCCCCCTAATCTCCCTCTATTTCTTTCTTTACCTCTCCTTTTTTCCCTTTTTCCTTTTATTGAGGGTACAATTTTTATGTTAATATAATTGATTATCATGATGCATATTTTTTCCTTTACATGTTTTGAAGGTCTTTGAGATTGACAATGTGAAAGCATGGAAATCTGTTTTGATATCTGTCACTTCCTATGCTCTGGGGCTCTTTATGATTTCCAAAGCACCCTGGTATCTACTTCCTCTGGCTTGGGCATGGACAGGCACTGCAATAACTGGGGTTAGTTCAACAGGCATATCTTCCTTAAAATTATTACTTACTGGTTTCTCAGATCATTCTCAGTCCTGTCTTTCAACAACTCTTTTTGCCCTTAAAGATCTTGGCCAACTTTTTTTTTTAAAGTTTTGCAATCCTCTTTCCTTTTTTTCCCGTACAGTTCTTTGTTATAGGACATGATTGCGCTCACAAATCTTTTTCAACGAACAAATTGGTAGAAGACATTGTTGGAACTCTGGCCTTCTTGCCAATAATTTATCCATATGAGCCATGGCGATTCGAGCATGACAAGCATCACGCAAAAACAAACATGTAAGCAGTGTTTGTTCTATTTTGTTTTTTTGTAAGTGCAGCTTGTAAATTATCTGTAGCATAAAAAATGTATGCCATAGAGGGACCGTCTAATATTTCTATTCAATATAGTGCAAAACTTAGTTTTTTGTCCTTAAATCCACCCACCCTTATAAATATATATTTGAGTAGATTAGACTAAGAAGTAAAGATTTGCAGCTTACTTAAAATTGTTAGAGGGGTATTGCATCATTGTGGTACATGTGGTGTTTCTTTTTCCAATGTACATGCACACTCTCTGTCCCACGTGTACTTAAAGTCAGGTGGTACTAATGCTGAAAGGGTAAAATGCAGGCTACATACAGTATGCATAATGCACTGTATGAGATATGTGATGATAATTCTGTACCATGTTTTATGTTCATGGTGCACACAAATGCTCATATGAAACTCCTCACTCTCTCTCCCTTATCATTTCCCACCTTCATATGTTCAAGCGGTAGCTTCACTGTTTCATTACTTTCAACCGTATGTCATCTCTAATGCTCCAGGTTGTATGAAGATACTGCGTGGCACCCTGTTTGGAAGGATGAGTTTGATTCATCTCCACTTTTGAGGAAAGCAATAATATATGGATACGGTCCAGTTCGATGTTGGATGTCTATAGCTCACTGGTATGGCATACAAAGCAATTATTTATTCTTTTAAGGTCAACTATGCCTTGAAATATCTTTGTACAGTTCGTCAAGTGCTACTTCATGAACTTGAGAAGCCTCAATTTCATATTTTATGACCTTTAGTTTATAACAAATCATGATATCAATGTGCATCCTGACAGGTTGATGTGGCACTTCGATTTGAAGAAGTTCAGACCAAATGAAGTAAAGAGGGTGAAGATAAGTTTAGCTTATGTTTTTGCCTTTATAGCAATTGGATGGCCATTAATTATTTACAACACTGGAATCATGGGATGGATAAAATTCTGGTTGATGCCATGGTTGGGCTATCACTTCTGGGTAATTTCACTTCTGTCTCAGACATTGATATCTTGTTTATCACCATTGGCTTTTTCGTTTTTCTTTCTTTCTTTTTGTTTGGATGGGTAGTATTGACTCTGCACATATTTAGCAGGAGTAGAAATCAAGCCTTTTTCAATAATCAGGCATTGGATTAAACTTTTGATTTATTTTTTTCACTATCATTGGTTAGCAGTTAGTGCTGAACTTGAATGCAGATATAAAGCCTGCTTGTAATCTTATGTTTAGGGAATGAAACAATGCCAAAGTATCCCTGGCTGCATGGGATTGTATGCAGCCAGAAAATTGAGGGCAATGTCATAGTGATAGCCAGGGATGGGCTCCCTCCAAGCCATGGCTCTGCACTTATATTTTCTATTATATTATGCCTCATGTAATTTTTTTGTAAATGAAAAGCGGCCTCTTGTAGTCAGTAAGTTTGTATTTTATGGATTTGTCTATTTAGAAATGAAAGTACGAGATATAATCAAGTGACAAGATAAATTTCAAAAGAAGGCTCTAGCATATTCACATCAGGGAGATAGATTTTCAGTGCAAACTTGGATGGGTATACAGAATATTAAAGTATTAAACAACTCAAGACCAATTAATGAGGGTATTAAATTAATAGCCAGAGCATAAAATTAACTTCCCTTTCTTCAAATTTTAAAATGAATTAATCATAGATGAATTTTGTGGTACAAGATAGCTTTGTATTCTTCTTCTATAAAGCTATGATAATTCAAATTTTTAAATTGAAAATTTGTTGTTTAAATATGTGGACTTTTATCATTTTATCCCTCTTGATAGTTCATTCCTGGATTCAGGGTGGGAATAGACTAGGTTATCTATTAGGGGCCTATGGCCTATTTTGGCATAGCCTATGTAGTAAACAAGCTTGGTTTGGGCTTTTATAAAGGCTTATTTGATTAAGTAGGCTAAGGCCTAGGGCTTTAAAAAACCCTATTTGGCCTATTCATTTATTATTTGGTTATATAATTAATAATTTAAATACTTACATAATTTATTAACTATAGATTAATATAATGTACTAATTTCATGGAAAAATTAATATTTTTTATGAAAGGTTATACCAATTTGAAAACTAAAAAGTTTAAGTTTCTTGGTCTATTTGAAGGCCTTCCATGAAAGGTAGGCTTCTAAGTTGGCTTTTTCACCCTTTTTCCCCTCATTAATTATTTAATAACCATTTTGCCCCTTATTCAGAACTATCTACCAATCTGCCCCTCTTTAATCGATTAAATCAAAAATTTAATCGATTAAATGATCAAAATAGACAAAAATCGTTGACTTGAAGATTTAGTTGATTAAATCTCCCTATTTAATCGACTAAATCTCCCATACATAAGGTTGTTCTTCTGATAAAGAGGAAGATTTAATTGATTAAGTTGAAGATTTAATCGATTAAATCCATTTGACCATTTAATCGATTAAAGAGGGGCAGATTAGTAGATAGTTTGCAATAAGGGGCAAAATGGTTATTAAATAATTAATGAGGGGCAAAAAGGTGAAAAAGCCCTTCTAAGTTGGTTTTATGAGTTTCCAAGTTTCTTGGCCTATGGCCTTCATGCAATGTAAGCCTAAGCTTATTTAGGCAAATTCTAGCCTATTTCTACCTTTAGTTACAGTGTCTGCTTGCTTTTTTTCTTTTGTCATTCTACAGGTCTTTCATTTGTTACTCTATGTTGCAATCTTGCTAACTGTAATATCTTTAGTATTTTATTTATTTTTAAATACTGTGTGCTGTGGCCAAATCTGAATTTTCTTGATGTAATTAATACTCTGGCTATGTGTCTATGAGTTTAAAGTTATAATAAAGAGTCCTATATCTAAGAGTTGTTGTTTTGTTCACAATCATAGATGAGTACTTTCACCATGGTACATCATACTGCACCGCACATACCATTCAAATATTCAGAAGAATGGAATGCTGCTAAAGCACAGCTAAATGGAACTGTTCACTGTGATTACCCTCAATGGTAATGGGTTCTTTCTGCTCCTTTCATTCTAGTATATGCTTTTCTTACCAATATATTGATACATCGGGACGTAATCCCTGGTTGCTATTATCAATTAATTATAAAACATCTTTTAAATGTTTTAATACGTACAATTTCCTGATATCCATTTAAATCTCTACCGCCAGTGAATATGTTAAATTTAAAATCACCTGATTATCCATATTTGAAAGCCTCACATATATGAAGTCATAAACAGATTCTTTTGCTTTCCTTTTTTCCATTTTGTCTTCAAAATGCAGGTTTGCAAAATTAACTTGATAACCATAGGATTATTGATTAACTGGCATATTCTGACTACTTTTCTGAACAGGATCGAGATCCTATGCCATTATATTAATGTCCATATTCCGCACCACATATCCCCGAGAATACCAAGCTATAATTTACGAGCAGCTCATAAGTCTCTCCAAGAAAATTGGGGAAAGGTAAGATCATTAATGCCAATATCTTTTTCTGCTTGTTCATGTAAAGGAGGAGGGTCAGTGTTCGATTGTTCACGTTAAAAGTATACTACAACTATTTTCACAATTAACAAGTAATGCCTTTGCCTTCTTCTCCATTAGTCTTAATCTTAAAAAAAGAAATGAAAATGTTAAAAGAAATTTACTTTGCCATATAGTCCAAATACAAGATTTGAAGTATTGTTTATTCCAATAATACAAGTTTGTTTATGTTTAATCAGTTTTAAACATTATGAATGTCCAACTAAACTGCTAATCCCATATGGTTAAAAGTAGGGATGGGTATGGGTCGACCCGAACCGGTTTTTTTGTAGAACTCAACTGAACTGGTTTAAACCGGTGCGGTTCTTTGAACTGAATTTTTTTTTTTACATCGAACCGGTTCGGTTTGGTTCAAAACCGGTTCGACCCGAACCGAATATAAACTGATTTTTAATCTTGTTCAACGGAGACTGAAACGCAACATTAGAGAGAGAAAGAGAGAGAGAGAGATATGAATGCTTCAATTAGGAAAAAGGTTCAGAGGAAGTGCAAGTTGAGAGGCTACAATCTCAAAGTTGAAGCTCTTGATGAGATCCTCACCTTCGTTTTTTGATTCAAAGGCCCCGACAAAGACGAAGCTATCGATCTCCTCCTCGATCAACTCGAACAAGAAAATTGTTACTTCAATTTTTCGATTCAATTTCTGTATGTTAAAATAATGAAACAAAATGGCAGTTGAATCCAGGTGTTAGATATGTTGAATCCAGGTGTTAGATGTGTTGGGGAGAGAGAAAGATAGAGAGAGATGGGAACATACGGTTAACTACTGGGTGTTAGATTCAAGTGTTTAAAACCAGTTCTGAACCGGTTCTTGAACCAGTTTTTTAAAACCAGTTTGATTCTTGAATTGGTTTTTAAAAACCAGTTCAATTCATAAACTCTTTCTTTAAAAACCAGTTATTTTAGTGCAGTGCGGTTTGGTTCACAGTTCGGTTTAATTTTTTGGTTTTTTTGTTCACCCCTAGTTAAAAGAAGGAAAATAGCATTGTTGCTAATTATTTTTATCCTATTTTGTTGTGTTGGATCAACAGTATCTAAATGAGGCAAGTTGGAATTGGCGATTGATGAAGACAATCATGACAGTGTGTCACGTGTACGATAAGAAGCAAAATTATGTTGCCTTCGATGAACTTGCCCCCGAAGAATCTCGTCCAATTACATTTTTGAGGGAAGTCATGCCTGATTATGCTTAATTAGGTCCAACCTGGCTTATTCTCATATGAAATTTTATGTGTCAAAGTAGGTAGGTATGCCGTTCATTTTCTTTTTAGATGTTCGTTATTGTGTAATATGGTACTTTTTTCTATATCACGTATAACGAGGAAATTGATTGGAGTTCTCACTTGAAGTTCACGTTTCAGGGTAAATCATGTTACCCAGTTGCGGATTATCCAAGGGCAAACCCCTGAGAAGCATTCATTAGGTTAAAAGTAGATGTTATAGTAATATTAACAGCGAGATTCTTGTTAGATGATCACGTTGGAGGAATATTATATTATACATATACAGTTGTCTAACGGATAAAAAACCACGAGGAGTGTAGCACAGTGGTTTGAGCCTAATACTGAGTCCTGACAATGTTTTCTCATTGCAGGGTGTCTTTTGATTGTATGTTGCTGACATTTAAGTATTTATTTTCTTTTTTGGTCTTATGAAAAGTCCATATCCAACCATAACTGTTTGCAAACTTAAAAGTGGAACGATCTTCTAAACATAAACAAGGCTTTCCTCGTGGACAGATCTAGAGAGCACCATCGGTCTTGTTATTTTCTGTTAAATAATCACTAAGTGTGAATAAATTAATATTTAGAACTTGTACATTGAAGAAGGTAAGGTAGTCTGGCTGCTTACCAGCTTTGGGGTTTATGTATGCTTTTGATGGATTTGGTGCAGCCGAAAGAGTTCAATATTAATTGGGAAAGTACAGTTACCTAAAAGCCAAAACCAAAGCCCCAACCCACCAGTGACTCCTTTAGCTGACGCCATTCTATTCAAAGTAAGTTCATGACTGTAAGGTATAGCGGTTACAGCTTCCAACTACTACGCCAAGACACTTCCATTATTCCATTCATCCTTCTAAGGCTTTTGAATGGACTTCACCGCACTTATTCTACCATGTTAGTTGCGAAATAAAAAGGTCAAAAGAAGGTACTAAAGAGAATATGACCATCCTTAAAAAAAAAAAAAAAAAAAAAGGTAACAACTGAGTGCTGGTACGAACTTAGATTCTGCAAGAGATCTCAAGTCTTGTATGAAATCTGATTTCACTAGTAAGGGAAAAATAAGCAATCCATATATAATTTTCAATGTAGATATGGCAAAACCCAGTACACCTTTGGATAGTAAAGTAAAAGTAAACCTAAATGTATGCCACGTTAAAAAACTACTCAATCTCGTATATACAAGTTTTAGACTCATCACTATCTAGGAAAATGTAGAAGCAATCAGATCCTGGGAAACTAAGGATAAAGAACCAGAAACTAAGCAATCCCTTGTATGAAATGAAACTTTAATCATTTAATGGGTGGCGTTGGAGTCTCCCATATATCAAACACATTCTCCTCACTATGAAGAGCAAAAAGCCTATCACCTCCAATGGAAAAGTCACATATTGAACCACCATAGCTTCGTCTAAGCCTGGAAGTCAAAACCCACTCAGGGCCACAGAACACTGAAATACAATCGTCCATAGAGGAGAAAAGTTGCCCTTCATGCAGTGCCAGTTTGGGGTAACAAGGTTCCTCTGGCATCTTCCCCTTCATTAACCTACTTCTTGAGCTCCACCTAATGCTTGTGGCTGCCAAACTCCTCAAGTCCATGAAACCCAAATCCTCATACTCATTCACCACACAAACTGAGTTGTTATCCTCCATTGCTATTGCATCCCTCACTCGTTTCTCATCCACAGCCAAGGGAGCCCCAGCCCCCATATCAGACCAACACCAAACCATCTTCTTCTCTCTGAAATCCAAAAGGCTAATATAACAATTGTCCTTCCTAGGAAACATGGTAGCAACCAACAAACAGTTCCTCCCTTCCAACCACTGAAGCTTATCAGCATCACCAAGTGACCAACCCAAAGGCTCATAGAAAAAATCAATTTGCTTCCCAGTAACCTGGTCCCAAACGCCAACCCCATATTCATTGCTCCTTCCTTTACAGCTAGAAAATAACTTATAATCTGAACTAAAGCTCAAAGCACCAGCAGTGTAACTCTTAACTTGATTCTCATGACTAACTTGGAACTTATACCTGAGCTCCCCTGTGTTGGATCCAAACAGACCCATCCCACCATCACCACGACCACGCCGTTCGCTGACACCTATGACTATGTTGTCAGAGTCAACCCAACCAACATCATTAACTCTTTGATAATCAAGATTAAGAGGAGGATGTTCATCTAACATCCAATCATAAACATGAACCATGCTACCATGAGCAACACAGCAACCACCATCTGGTCCAGCTCGAATGGCTGTTCCATCCCCAGGTGCTTGTCCTTGAAAAGACCGAGACAACCTTAACCTATTTCCATCGAATGGACCCCACCTTGCCGATCTAACGTGGTCCAAGAGACCGTAGAACATGGCCTCCCTGTAAAGCAGCTTCTCGGGGATGTTGGGTGGAATATATAGTTCTCCGGTTCGGAGCAGATCGAGGAGAACGGCGAAGCAATCGGGATTGCGATCAATGAATTTCTCACTACAGTTATCTGATATTAGGTTCCAGTTCTCGTCGAACATTGCCCCAAACATAGAATTGCGCCCTGCATTGGCAAGGGTTGTAGCTGTTGTTTCCAACACTCTGCCTCCTACGTTGAATTTCACCCTGTCTTTCTGAATTCCCATGATTTGTTTCCTCCAAAGTTTATAACTTTTTGAGAAACCCAGATGAAGATGGGGATGGGGTTCAATTCAACACCTGATTTTCTCTTGAATTGGATAAACAATGGGTTTCGGGTTTTTCTATACGCAAGAAAAAAAGCAGGGGTATAAGTTATAACTGCCACAAAATGACAGAGAATTATTAGCAAACAAATAGGAATGATTTTTCCGTTTAACAGAAATGAATGATTTGGTTGTTTAAGGGTTGAAAATTGAAATTGAAGGAAAAGAAAAAATGGGTGTGTGGCAGGATCACAAGACAGAGGTTAAAAGAAACACAAAATATGATGGGATGGGGCTGTGGGAAAAATCAGACATGGATGGGCATTTAAGAGAGACGGCTTTAAAAAGTGGGTTTTTAAAATCGTGGGATTTGGTGAGAGAGGAATCAAATTGGGTTGGAGCGGTTGGAATTCAAAATCAAATTGACTCACTTTGATCTCTCCCTTTAACTCACTCTGTTTTTGTTCTTTCTCTCTCTCTTCTTTTTTTCTTTTTATTTTTTTTAAGTCCTTGATTTCTTTGTTTTTCCATTGATCGGGATTAGGGTTGGCAAAACGAGTCAACTCGGCTCAACCCGCGTCCAACTCGAAAAAAACGAGTCAAGTTAAGGTTGGCTCGAATAATAAACGAGATAGAAAACTCAACCCAACCCGTCCCGAGTCGGGTTAGGGTTGGTTGCGGATTGACTCGAAAAAATAAAAAAAATAAAATAAAATTTTATTGATACTGTAACTTCTAAATTATTAATTCATTCAATACAAAGATATTATACAGATAAACCACAGAAAATTCCTTTTGCATTTGGACTTGGCAGTTGGCACAACATTCACATTGTCACACATATTATAAAAAAGGTCCTTAATGCACGATTTTGGACTTATTAGTAGCTGCAGGGTATTTTCGTTTGGATCTTTGGAATTGGGATTTTAGGTTTTAGCGTTCCACTTTACCTTCATTAATTTTTATACTTTTATATTAAAAAAAATCATAACCCGTGAGTCAACCCATTTGACCCGTAGGTTGGCTCGGTTTTTTTCGAGCTGAAACGAGTCAGGCTGACTCGAGTTACTAATTCATTTTTTAACCCAACCCGATTTATTTTAGCCAGTTTACAAGCCAATTTGATGTGTTGACTCCTTTTTGCCAAGCTTAATTGGAATATAACATATAGTTGCATATTTCCTCGTAAAAATAATATGTGATGGCTTCTCTCAGTTCTTCTAAGTCAACTTTCGTAAAGAAACCGCGTCATGAGAGTATTAATACGAAAGGGACAACAAAATTGAGATTGTACGAGCAACTTTTTCTATTTAATTGACTCGTTACCGTGTCTATTTTGTTCATTTTCAAGGAGTCTTTCTGAACCTAATTGGAAGGCACCATTTCTCTTGTAAATAATGAAGGTAGGGGAAATTGAACCATCCTCGGTGTGACAATTTAAATACAAATTTTCACTAATAAGTTATTTAAAAATAAAAATGCACACCATGAGAGTCTTTTCTTATCAAGAACTCGACGGTCATCTTTATGTCACAATACATAAACATGTTAAGTTTTAACGTCAGCATTTATCAAGTGAATATTGCCTTTTCCCTTTTGTCGTTTCATGATAAGATAAGTCCCAATTTGCCTAATAGGAGTACTAGAAACTCATATTGGATGCCACCCAATCAAAAGGAAACAACTTATGAAATTCGAGGCCATTTCCTCCTTAGTTTTTTGCATTAATTTACCAATCTTTTTTCATAGCATCTGTCCCACCGTTTGAACTAGCAGTAGCGGGCCGTAGACGGCAAAACTTTCACACTTTGAGTATTGAATACTTCTCTTGAGCTTTTGAAATTGTCAATACGTTACTGTTCCTATTTGACAAAGTAAAACCACAAATAATAAGGAATAGTAATGACTCTAACATGCAGTTGGCAGGTCTTGGTCTTGCACCACTTTACTTTCATTTTTTCTGACGTTGAGATGTGAGAATAAACATGGCATTTACTACAAATGGTTTTTATCTCTGACAAAAGTTTGGTGGCTATACGTGATGGTCACAATCTTCTTTTTCGTTTTAACTTTAGTGGAGAGGAATGAGGATGAGGCCGAACGCTTCATAATTGGATTTTAAGATAACAAACTTAGGATTGACTCTTAAGAGTTCCGAAACTTAAAAAATACATGACATGATTAATTTTTTTTTTCTTAAACTCAAAGGCATTATGGAAATCATATTTTATCTTCGTCTTATCTTCATTTTAGTGGGTATGACCAAACATTTCACATCAAGTCAAAGGTGTTATAGTTTCATTGTATTTGTTGCAACTTGCAAGCAGGATATTCAATTGGTAATAGGAGTTTTAGTCTGTTGGGTCCAAGTTTATGATGCACTTATCTTCTTATCTTAGATTTAGAATTTTCGAACAAATAATTATTTACCCTCCATTTCTTTTCTAACAAATATTTTATTATATGGGGTTTTACTTTCATGAAAATGGGTAATTTAAAAGTTGAAACGCACTAGAATTATTTATATTTTTTTTAATGCTATTCAATCACTGTGTTTATTATTTACCATAAATAAAAGCGATGGACCAAAAGTACACTCATTATACATATGTATAAACTAAAGAATAAGAAAATATGGAAGTGGGTAACGTGCAGTTAAATAATAAATACGTATTGTTAGGAATCATATTATAAAAAAAGATATTTACTTAAAGTTCAAACAAATGTTACTAAAGCTCAATGGCATGCTTATTTTAAGTTGACTAGAGAAGTGGAGTAGCAAAATGTCCACCAAGTTTGAAACAGGCCTAACTACCATTAAAGGCATGACTAGAAGCAGTCAAGCATATTGGCTACGTTATTTTTGTGATAAATAAATTTTCCATCGTTAACTGGTCTTGAGTATAATATAATCGTGTTTAAATTTGCTTTTTAGCATGACTCCTTTTTCTTTTCTTTTTTCCTTCAACTTTTGGAATTTGTTCATGTTTTTTGTTTTCCAAATTTTTTGGGGCGGAAACTGAGAGAGTCATGAATAGAACAGTTTTTTCTTTTTCTTTTTCTTTTATTTTGTCGGTTACTGTCCGCACTATAATGTGGTATTATGGGCTTGTGGGCTTGTGGGCCTATCGGAACTTTTGGGAGTGTATCCATATCCCAAACCCAGACAGTTCATGGTAAGTCAGTAACATAGCCACAAATTTTGTGTGTGTGGGTATTATTCGAGGGCTATAATTAGGGGTGTAAATGGGCTGGGCTGGGCTTTGGCCATCCTGGCCCAAGCCTACGTCAAAAAGAATTTAGCCTATTTGGCCTACTGGCCTATTAAAGGCTTTATTTATTGTCCAAGCCCGGCCCATTTTCAAAAATGAGAAAGCCTGACATGGCCTACAGGCCTTGTAGGCCTCCCACTATATATACTAAGCAAAAAAAATAATTTTATAGAACAAAGAAAGTTTCATTCATGCATGACTAGTACTTCTCATAAGAAAAAAATGACAAACAAGAAAGAGTCAACATAATACCTCAGCTCTAAAATCTATATCATAGAGGAATAGAGTCAAAGAAATGAGAAAAATAGGAAAAATAAGAAAAATACAATTACTAGATGCTGAAATAAAGTCTACAAAAGAATGTCATTCATCTAAAAATCTTTAAACCACCATCAAGACAAGGGAAAGAAGAGTATTATTGAAAGATCTTCATCAGTAACATCATAATCCAGCAAGGTACTCATTGCTCCATGGTATTAAGCTGCAACAGCATGTAAAATTTGGAGACATTAGACAAGTTTTCCTTTCATAAAAATAAAATAGTACAAAAAGTAAGAGATATTAGTATTTGGTACTTTGTGTCTTTGCCACATAAAATAAATATTATTTTATTATTTTATTTTAATAAATTAAATAAGCCAGCCTACAAGGCTGTAGGCCGGGCTTGACAAAATTGACCTATGGCCTATTTATTAAAAAAAAAAATTTATAAGCCTAAGCCTACTCTATTTTTCTGAAAGGCCGGGCCGGGCCTGGGCTGGGCTCAATACGGCTCAGCCCAGCCTGGCCCATTTACACCCCTAACTATAATTACAAAGCGAGGTGTTGCGGGGAAGCAAATAGTTTGGTACGTTTTTCTGAAGGGTCAGGTGAAGCTCTTTTCTTCTCCAACTGAAGCAGCAGAAGTATAAAACACTAAAATTAGTTATAATTAAAATCGTGACAAATCTTTATTCAGAATAATTGTCTAACTTAATATTATTAAAACTGGTCCCACCGATTGAATCGAGATTAGGCTATTAACTGGTCTGATTTATTTAATTATCCAGTCATGCATATAATTTAGTCAAGAACCAATCAAGTCATAAATCAGGTTCAACCGATATTAACTTAATATTGGTTTTCTGAACTTGGCATCTAAGGAAAAGAGAATCAAATATTAATCACAAAGTCACATTAATTTGGTTATCAAAATATTTGTATTTATATATTTATTATATATTTTTAGAGAAAAATGTGTATCATTTTAAAGGATATAAAGTTGTGTCATTTCAAGTGAGAGAAAAAAATTGATAAAGGAGGAGAGAGAGAGTGAACAAAAAAATATAAAGGTGTGAGTCCAACCTCTTTATGAGTGAAATAACATAAGTTGTATCATTTAAAAGGACTAACAATTTTCCCATATTTTTATACAAATTCAAGTTAATCAGTTGAACCAATAGTTAAAGTGAGTTGAACCATTGACCTAATATTTGATCGAATCCATGATTGATCTAGGATCAATAACAATGGTGACATGTGATAATTCCGGGAAGCGTGTGGTACTAATACCGCGTGAATTTCATTTTGTTATTACATTTGTTATTAATATTATTAATCCAATCCAATGATAATTCCTAATATTTATGACAGTTATTTGATTTTCCACTTGCCAACTGTAATAACTGTCATAAATAATATTAATCCAATTCAATGATAATTCCTAAATCTGATTTTAATTTTTGTAAATACAAAAGGGAAAGGTTATATTTACTACCTATTTTTCTTACTATCTCTTACTACTAAATCTTAACCGTTGATTTCTGTCAATCTAACGATTATAATTTATTGTAAATTAATAATTAATTAATAAATATGACCCCATAAATTACAACCATTAGATTGACGGAAATCAACGGGTTAAGATTTGGTAGTAACAAGTAGTAAGAAAAATATATAGTAAGTATAACCTCTCCTAATACAAAATTGTAAAATTCCATTTACAAAAAATTGTAAAATTCCAAATACTAACGACACAAATCTTTTTTAAAAAATAATTATTTATTATTTTATAAATGTG